TACGCCTACCGGTACGAGGCTGCCACTCGAGAACCTTTCTTCCCCATCGGTTGGTCTTCGAGCTATATGGCCGGCCCATTGCCACTTCAGCTTACTAATCCGTTGGGCTATGTGGTCACTCTGGTTTTACTGCGGATATCCTCATTTTGGTTTATAGATGAAACTCAGAGCATAGCCCTCTCCATAGCTCGCTGAGCGACCTTGAGCGTCCTCATACGGCCAGCGGTGAAGGACCACGTCTCAGATCCATAAGTCATCACTGGCAACACGCACTGGTTATACACTTTAGTTTTCAGAGATTGAGGTATACCTGACGAGAAGATGTGTCGTAATTTCCCGAACGCTGCCCAGCCGAGTTGAATCCGTCGATTGACCTCTCGGTCGAAGTTGGACTTACCTAGTCGGACTATTTGTCCCAGGTAAACGTACTCGTCAACAACTTCGAGCATAGTGCTCCCAACAACTACCGGCATAGGTGTGACATGGACATTAAACATAATCTTTGTTTTGTCCATGTTCATCTTAAGACCTATCCGTTTGGAGACACCATTGAGGTCATTGAGCATAGTTCTAAGGTCCTCCAGCGATTCTGCCATAAGGACTATATCGTCGGCAAATCGAAGGTGAGTGATGTACTCGCCATTGATGTTAATACCGTATCCTTTCCAGTCCAGTAGCTTGAAAACGTCTTCCAACGCAGCGGTGAAGAGTTTCGGGGATATAACATCACCCTGTCTTACACCTCTCTGCAGTTGGATAGGTTTCGTACTCTGGTTCTGTACTCGGATAGCCATCTTAGCCCTACTGTACAGACACATCAGCACTTCAATATACCGACAGTCAACTAGGCACCGCTGAAGAGACTGTAGCACCGCCCAAATTTCGACGGAATCAAAGGCTTTCTCATAGTCCACATACGCCAGGCAAAGTGGCAGATTGTACTCTTCGGACTTCTGTACAATTTGCCGAAGGGTATTTATGTGGTCTATGGTACTGAAGCCTTTTCGGAAACCGGCTTGTTCGGGAGGCTGGAAGTCGTCGAGTCGTGTCGTGATTGAAGAGCTTCTGGATTTATCAGAAGCTCCGCTGAATTCCATCCTCGCCCGGGGCCTTGCCGTTTTTAAGGTGGTGGAGAGCCATTCTAATCTCGCTCAGACTGACGTCCGGGATATCATCGGAATAGTGTCGGATAAGACTTGCTCTTGGATCGTTACTCACACTTGCGTGTGGCTCCAACGATGATGTGTACAGCTGCCCATAGAACCTCTCAATCTCACTCAAAATCTCAGGTGTCCCGGAAACGATGCTGCCACACTCAGTCTTCAGCCTTGACAGTTGGCTCTTACGGGCAGACAGATCTCTGGCAAAGACTTTGGAGCCCTGGTTCCGCTCGATCGCTTCTTTAATACGAGCAGTATTAAAGTTGCGTAAGTCTCGCCGCATGCATTTGGAGATCTGTCTGTTCAGTTGCCTGCATGCTGTCAAATCTGTTGACGATTGCAGCCTCATCTCCCGTCTAACAGCCATAAGATTAAGAGTGTGATCGGAGAGTTTTTGTGTTCTTCTGCGGCGGGTCTTGCAGAACTTAGCTCCGACCGCATGGACAGTTTCCACGAGCTTGTCATTCATATCGTCCACTGCATTGCAATCCTCTAGGCACTGAAAGCGGTTTTGTAACTCGAGCTGAAAGGTTTCGGGATTCTGGATTAGAGCACGAGGTGGACGGAGCGTTGACTTCATTAGACGAGACCTCTCCAACTTAACATTTAGGTTCAGTGTGCCTCTAACCATTCGGTGATCGCTGCCAGTTTTCACCCTTGCGATCACTGAGGCATCAGTGAACAGTTGGCGTCTGGTCGTCATAATAAAGTCAATCTCATTTTTTGTCGAACCGTCGGGGCTCGACCAGGTCCACTTCCTGTGGGGCCGCTTCTGGAAGAAAGAGTTCATCATAAAGAGTCCCTCTTTCTCCATGAAGTCGGCCAGCTGCTGGCCCCTTCGGTTCCGTTGCCCTACTCCAAATTTCCCCACCTTCAGCTCACCGCTTTCTCTTGTGCCTAGTTTTGCGTTGAAGTCTCCCATCAACACCGTGTAGTGAGTTTTGGAGGAATGCATGGCTCTGGAAATATCCTCATACATTTCCTCCACCTCCTCATCGGGATGTGCCGAGGTTGGTGCGTAAACCTGTATGACCTTCAGCGAATACCGTTTGGTGATTCTGAGTATCAGGTACGCGACCCTCGTCGACACACTCCCAATCTTTACAACGTTGTTGACGAGAGACTTGTGGACGATAAATCCGACACCTCCTTGGGACAGATGGTCGCCCTCCCGGTGGTAGAACAAGTTGCCGGACTCGAGGATTGCCGTATCCTCCCCCCTCTCTTCGGATCTCGGATAATCCAATAATATGCCAGCGCAACTTGTCTACCTCTTCTTCCAGCTCCAGTATCTTCTCGTCAGTCCTCAGGGTGCGTGCGTTATATGTTGCCTGGTCGTGTCGTCGTAGGTGGCAACCGAACCTCCACCGGAGATTCTTAGCACCCCCTGCCCCGCCGTTACCATGGTCGCCACCGTAGCCAGGAATAGCGGGGCCGCCGGGGACTGGGGGCCGTTTATTTGTGTCGTTATTCATGGGGGGATATTTGCCATAGTTGCCACGCTTGGCGAGCGGGTTGGCAACCGCAGTTTTTTATTATAACACAGTTGTTATCAGGAAGATGCTGCTGCCCATCTCCTGTCTCCCTCTGTCGCCTCTTACGACACCCACGGGAAGATATGGGGTAGTGGATATTCTCAACCGCCACTACACGGCTATTAAATTTGAAATAGTTAAATTAAACAACGGATATTCCAAAAAGTAGAAGAATTTAAAAGAGAGTAAAAATGCAATTAATTTCGGTGCGAAACACTAATGACCAAACACTGAAACGCTGCTTAATTTTTAGATGCCGTTAAATCTCGTGCTGTTTCTATCATTTTAATTCTAAGTAACTGACACCGCGAGACTTGACATCATAAAATTGACTAGCGCCTGAGTATTTGTTCGTAAATAAGACATTGTTTTGTGTATTTATATACCATAGAAATCGTTATAATTTTATTTAAGGTGAAAGCGCCAGGGTAGCCCGCGAAATTCAAATTTTCTTACGTTTTTTGCAATTTTCAGGTCAGTGTCAGGGTGTATGTTGAATAAAATATTATTCGCAACCGTAATGAGTATGTATTTACAGAATTATAATCATTATAATCATCAATACAACCCTCTAAGTTCGTATAATTCCATTGAAACAGAAACTTTTTTATTCAATATAGATTGTAAACAATACTTATTGAGTCACTTTTTTCATTTACCACTGGTTCGCAATAACACCTCTGTCCTGGGAAGAACCAGCAAGAAACCCAACGGGACTATTTTTTTTTTCAAATAATAGCTGGCAATCATGTACGTTACAATTAACAACATAAAACAAATTAGAAATAGCTTGGTAGAGATCACCCTTCCCAGAGGTTATTATCATCCATAAATTCCTTAATATTATAATAACCCTTTTTATACAAAATTAGTTTAATAAAGTTTTTGAACTTTGTGTATGTCAATTTTTGTATGGCTATTTCCAGAAAAACTATTTCAAAGGAATAGGAATATGAACTTAGAGGGTTGTATTGGTGATTTTAATGATAATAATTTTGTAAAAACATACTTGTTACGGTCGCGAATCATATTTTCTTAAACATACAATCTCACACTGACCTGTACATTGCAAAAAACGTAAGAAAATTTGAATTTCGCGGGTTATCCTTGCGCTTTCACCTTAAACGCAACTTCTTAATTATTCCATTGTATAAATAAGTGTGTAAATAACTTTCCTTCAGTCCAAAGTAGTAACATCTGGCGAGAGAAAAATTATTAATCAATATTTTCAGCTGTGGCCGCGAAAAATTTGTAATCACTATAATTATACTAATTGAAACTATCAAGCAGTTAATTCATGTGTGCTTTAATTATTTCTTATTATTGCAATAATTAATGGTAATTATTTACATATGGTTACTATTATTTGATAACGTTAATATAAAATTGCTGTAATTATATTAAAAAGTAAAAGTTACTGTTTTAACAATTAAAAATTATAATAGAGCATCTATATAAAGACGACATATCATCATTATATTTACAACTTTGTTATTTCATGCATAAAGTTGAGTTTTGATTATAAAGAACTATGGAATGAAAACATAATAGGGTAAGGCCGTAGATTTCGCCACTTTGTAACAGAATAACATAGACACTTATATGTTACGGTAACATAAAAGTAACTCAAAAGTAACACATAATTTTGTAAGGCTGATTTCTTATCGCACTCTTTGAAGCGACATTGTATGTCATATTACGAACTTGGATAAAAAAATTCCCCACTGGACTGTATAAAAACGATAAATTGTAAATAGTTCAGCGATAAAAAACTAAAAAAAATTGTTAGGTGTTAATTAAAACATCAACGGTTTGGAGTTTTTTAATTAAGTAATAATAAAAAAATATTTTTAATATACTCTTACAAATCTCGAGTAGTAAATACGAGTATGATTAATTATTGCTTCTCGTGAACTTTTGAGCTAAAAACAAAAATCAGAGTAAATATACTAAACTTATCGGTAAGTAATTGTAAAATCACAGGACAAAAGTAATACAAATTGAGGACAAAGAAAGTATGACAATTGTTGAGAAAGTTATATCTTTCTTGTCAGGAATGAGCCTGAGAAAAATATTTTAGTTAGTAAATTGAATATTATTAAGTTAGATAATATATTCAATAGTATTTTAGCCAAACCAATGTCGGTAGAGGCTGCATTAGTTTACTCAGTAGTTACCTTGTAATGTCTTATGCTTTAATGGAATTGGCGTAACATCTTGTTAAAAGTACCAAATTAATAAAGATTAAAAAAAAATATATCTTTCTAACATAGAGCGATACTCATCTAAATGTTTCTCCCAATACTTACAATATAAAAGTAATTTTTGTGAAGAAAATTAGATCGCGATCTTCTTCCAGGTAATATTCCTTAGAAGCTTCTTCCTTTTGTATCAAATTTACTTTCTTGACGATAGAATTGTTTGTTATAATATCGATATCTAATTTTCTTGGGAATGTAAACTTCAAAGAATTAAACGATTCTTTGATAGTTTTCAAAAATTTTACTTGATAGTAATTTAATCCGTCCTTGAATTCTATACTCTCAACAACTCCTATATGATGTTTCCATGTTTTTCTTAGATAATATCTAACTATAATTGTGTCATTTATGTTAAAAATAAAGTCAGTCTGCATATTTTCTCCACTTTCGTCTTCTCTTTCTTGATTCTGCATAATTTCTCTAATCTCATCTTCTTCTCTTTCATATCTGAATATTTTCACCAGTCTCATCTTCTTCTGCATGTTTCCTTTTCTCTATTTCTTCTTTTTGAGCTATATTCTATTCTTTGTTGCCACTTTTATTCTCCAAAATATTCTTCATGTCGTTTTTTGTAAAATCAGTTTCATTATTTTCTCTATTTTCTGTATTATTTGTATTTACTTTTTACACACTGTATGTACTTTTTAATTCAGTCATTGTGCCTCTTTTTCCAAATATATTGCTCTCTACTAAGTCATAACTAGCAATGTTTTCTGGAGCGTTCCTAATTTGAGACAGAATTGTCACATAATTATTTTCAGGAATATGTTGTTTCATCACATTTACATTTACGTGGGTCGCTTTCTTGTTTCTGTATCCAACTTTACTTTTATCTTCTGCTTTATTTCTCTCTTCCTTGGCTCTTTTCCTGTCTACTTTGGCTTTATTTTTGTCGTCTTTTGTTTTATTTTCACTTTCTTTAGATTCCATCTCTTTTTTAATTATATCTGCGTCTCATTGCTTTGGTCATTATTTTCACTTTTTGCTTTCATGATGATTCTCGTGGACAAAACATTGATTTTTTTATTGGGATCTATCCTTTGCTTTAAAAATCCAGTTTTTTCATCCAAATCGAACGTATTTGCTTGTTCTGCGTTATCGTTCCTGGTATAGGAAGTATGTTAATATTATCCATTGGAATGAAAAATATTTTAATTTCAGTATCCGACATGTTCAGTATATTTAAAGCTGTTTCAGCATTGGGAATATCAATTCCTTGGGCTATTTTCGTTACGTTTGATGGCCCCACCAATGCCATCTGCTGCTCCTTTTCCATGGGCCGATTCAAAGAAGGACCAAGTTCCGCTTTCCAATCCATATTCGTAAATATTTTTGCTAAAAAGATAAAAGTTCTTTTTTTGCCGATACTGAGTAGTCGGCCCGTCAGAAAAAATGTAAGATGCTAACGTTTGGGTAATCCGCTTTAATATATTTAAAAATGGGGTCTAGGTGTGCCCATATGGCGTCCGGACAGTGTTCATTGTTGGGAGATATCGAACAGAAAGATATGGGTCTTTCATTAATTACGTGTAAAACACCTGTGTGTAATGTTATCTGGTCTTTAATGAAATGCATGGCTTGGACTTCCTTATGATATTTACATGTGAAATTTTCGGTATTATTGCTTCATTGTTTTTTTAAGTTTTCTTTGCAATTCTTGTATTTATTAAACTGATGATAAAAATTATATGCACGTATTTTAAATTTCGTCATTTCTGTATGAAATTTGTTTAGTAAATCTTCCAGTGTACCCTCTTTAGTAGTTTTCATCATTATTTTTATTTGTTTCATTTTATCACCCTGACCATATGCATGCTCTTTCATAGCCCACTCAAACCATGTAACTTCTATTTCTTCCTGATCATCACAACCGAATAGTTTTCTATCTGCGCAAATATGGCATTCTCCCAACATGCATTCTTTAGACTTGAAATCACAAACAAAGTCTGAAGTGATGTCATTTAAGCTTTCTTTCTCCTGGAGGAATCCCCGTGACTTCAATGCATCCACCAAAAATTGCATATTTGAGTGCTTCACACAGGCACATGTTTCACAGTTCCTTATTTTGGGAGGTAAGACGTAAAACGGTCTGTATTTTTTAAAAGTACTAAAACTAACTTTTTCCACCTCAGCCGTGTACTTTTTTTGGTGGAGAATTTTCAGTTTATCCAGTTGATATCTTATTTGGCGAGTCACTTTTTTGTATGTTCTATACTCCTTCTTACCGGAGATACGTCGTCTCTGTTAAAAAATCCTCTATTTTATTTTGTAACTTAATAGCCTTACGAATTTGAACCCTGGTGTATTTTTTTAAACTGCCTTTAAAACCCAAGGACAGCGATAATTTTGTTTTTTGTCTGGATTTCTCGACCAAATCATTTTTCAAAACTTTTTTGAATGTTCTTTTTTTCAGCTTGATTTGAACTTTTCATTTCTAACTTAAGTGCTTCTGTCAAAACATCATGCTCCAGTAGTTTTTGTTTAATAACTTCTTTCTTTGGTGTTTCAATATGAGAAATGTTTTCACTAATAAATTTTTCAACTCTCTTCCTTGGAGTGTACTCAGCTGTATTTTGTCTCATCATACTGGCTTCTTCACTGTCAGTCGATGTTTTACTATTTTCTAGTTGTTTAAGTCTAATGACATTTTTACAATTTTCGTTCGTTTCATCAATTTGTTTTTTGTGTCTGTAAAGACGTTTTTGCAGATTTTTAAACCTTTTTGACAAATTAAATAAATCTTTTCATAATCTCATATTTTCTTGCTGAAATCTGTATTCAATACGACGTTGAATATTACGCAAATCTACGGATTCTTTGTCGGTAGTCTTTTGCTGCGACGTTGATGGCAATTGTACTTTGGCTTTTTTTCTATCTTCTTTCCATTTTCGTCTTTGGTCTTCTGTGTAATTAACTCTTTTATTTCTATAATACCTCAAAGCATTTTCTGCTGCATTCTTTTTTATCTCCTCATATTTTTCTGGATTGTTAGCTTTAAGCTTTTCCCTGTAATTTTTTTGCTTTTCCGCCGGCGTTAGTGGCATCTTTAAACAAGTAAAATATAAACTTTTTAATAAACTCGAAAACGGGAAATTTCATTATGGATACCACGCCATATTACTCCATAAATCTTATATTGATAAATCCTTAATTATTTTCATGTGTAGCAAGTAATTTTTACAAGCACTTTCAGACGATGGTGCAGATAAGATAAGCGATGTAAACTAGACTTTACATCAACATTACCGTTTCGTCACATAAAAACTTATGTTACCGGCAACATAAAAGTATCATAAAAGCAACGTAAAAGTAACATAATATTCGATTGATTAGGTTATAATATGAAAAAAAACAGATTTTCATGCCAAAACATGCTTTCTCGATCAATGTTAGCTTTGGCGCACACGTGGATAGTATTTTGAACATAAACAAATGTCTACTTACCTCCCAAAATCGCAGAAAACACTTTTTATTTTAGGTGACGAAATTCACACGTGCGCTTTTTGACACAATCCAGAGACAACAAAATGGCGCTTGTAATTTTTTTTCTAAAGTAGCTCTTTGGTGTTGCCAACTTAAATTATTACAATTACCCCATTCTTATGTTAAAGACTATATTACTCTCAAAACTGGTAACGTAAAAATGTTAAAATTGAAGACATGTTTTAAAACTAGGATAAGGAATAAACAAATGGCGCTTGAACTCAATGTTACACTGAATTAAGTAGCTCTACCAATGTACTTTCTATACGTTTAAGAATTTATGTATAACTGATTACAAGGTCTGTAATATAGTCCATTGTTTTCGTATCACACTTTATGGACAATAACTTTTTATATGAAACTTTTATGTCATCTATACATTTAAGTTCGTTTTAAAATAAAATTACACCCATTGTAGTTAAATTATAAACTAAAACAGTGTTGTGAGGCATAATGCTACAAGATAAAAATATGTCACCTGAAAAAAAATAACAAACTAGGCGTACAAAATTAGCGAACTATTCATGACTATGAAAAAAGTGGCAAAATCTACGGCCTTACCCAATAAATGAATTAGCTTAAAGAAACGTTCATAAGACAGGTGTTTTGCATATACGCACTTAGAACTAAACTATTTTAATCCTGGTTGTGTGAAAAAACCCGTAGGTGTTCTCATGCTTAAAGGTTGCTTTGAGTGAACGTGCGTTTATAGCTGAGTTAACCCTTTACTGCATGAATTTTGAACATTCCCTCAAATTAATTTATGATATAATTTATGACCCCGGAAAATATCCTAAAAATAACTATAAAAATATAAATACATGGAAATGGTAAAAAATATGTTTCATATTTGGAACAACACGCATTCATGGCTATTTTGAAAGACATTCCACATTTGAAACGTCATGCAGGCACGTTAAGAGAGCCGTTAATGGGTTTAATAAATAAATATATAAATGGTTTTCAGGTATTCTGTTTGTATTTACATAAATTAGGTTAGGACAAGAATACGTATTTATAATCAAACATCCGTTGTACAGTAAAATGTTTATTCATTTGTGAAAACATGAAAATCTTAAAACAGCTTCGGTATTTGTTAAAGCAAAAGTAGCAATCATTTACTACCACATCTGCCATGTTTTAAAATCTCTTTGGTGTTTGGCAAATTGATATCTTTTGCCCCGTTCAGCTGAATCAAGGAAGCAGAAAGCTGAATGATTTGCAGGTATCATTTGTTCATCGTCGGCCAGATAACTCTTCTTTGAAGATTTTTATGAATAGATTTCTCAGAATGTCAAGCAATGGTTTAATTTTTTGAAGTCTGTCAAAATTTGTATCATTTTGACTAAGTTTACTGTTTTTACAGAAAAAGTACAAAATTTTTTTTACTTCTTTAAATTGGTCACAAGTCAAAGTGGAAGCTTTTTCAATATAAGTTCCTTGTCCCCAGAAGTGACGTGACGTCTATAAGTTTACTGATATCATCTCTAGTCACAGATTGTGCTTTTCGGGCTAAATTTGTTCTGTATAAAATTTATTTTGTTCGTGAATGAGGCCCTGTAAGCTCTGACAGCGCGCGACATGTTATACTCCCGTTCGCTCGGGACCGTAATGGCGGCAAAATTTGAAAATTAGCAAATTTTTTGCTATATTGCAAATTTTGCTATATTTTCACTTTGAGACAATATTTATGGATAAAACTTACAGGAATTCTTGTTGAATGTATAAACTATCGAATAAAATTATTTTTGGTTGCTAGAAATTGTAATAAAATACGTAATTACCCTGTATAGCTGTATAGTGGTATATACTTCAATTTTAGTGACAAAATTACTACTAATTTGAATTCTACACTTTTGTTTTTAGAGAAATTTATATGAAAATGTTTGGAAATATGTATATTTTTATGTTTTATGTGTTTCCATTCGTTACTCATACCAAAATATAAAATATAAAGAAATTAAAAAAAATTAAATATTAATATTTTATCTGTGTGACATTTAGAACAATATTTCTAAAATAGTTTTGTGTGAATTTGAAATAAATACAACGTCAAGTTATTTGAAATATGTAAGAAAACTATTTTTACTTACATTTTACACTAAAAATAAATGAGAATGTGAAAAATACCACATTTATGACCCAGCCGCCATAATGGGCCTTCCAGATTTTGAAGCACTTTTGGCAATTTACTTTTCACTTTTTATACCACAAATTATATATATATGTGTTCACTATATTACAAGGAATATAAAAAAGTATAATACTTTCGTTTTTAGTCCAGACACAAATATAAAATTCTATAAAAACACGGAGCACCGTCATCAAAACGGCACGTGGAACGCCGAAAGTTCAGAGTGATTTCTTTTTTTTTTTTTCTAAGAAACATTGCCAGGTTATGGTTTAAAACAAAAGAGCATATCTTTGTCTTTGATACTATTATCTATTGCATAGTGTCTTTGGTTTTGTTTTAATTAAAAAAATTCTTTTTTCAAAGGGTAGTACTTGTCGCCCACATGTGCACCTTGCTCGAGCGAGCGTAAGGTGTTTATTTCTTGAGCACATGAGGGCCTCGCGAGAGCTACCTCTGTCGGAAAAAGTAGCTTAAAAAAATTCATCGGTGTCTCCAATTGTAAAATTTCGTCTGGCAGATCTTCACAACCTAAAAATGTTATATCCTCTCTTATTCAATAGAACCTTCAGTCCGTGATAATTTTGATCGCCTTTTGAACCTTTGCTCGTTTTGCTTTTGGAATATCTTCTTTTCACATCCTGACGCATTTGAATCATTTCATCGATATTTTCGAATATCTCCTCTGTATCTTCCGGTTCCATTTCTTGTAGATATACGACTTCATTTTCCATTACTTCTGAATCAGATTCAGAGTTAGTTTCTGAAAACGTTTTCTTTGGTAATTGATATTTATCGTCATTTGATAGGTTTTCATAATCAGAGTCTTCGGGAAGTGCCAAAACACTATTATTGATTTTTGTACCTGTAATAAAGTGAAATACAAAGTGGAAAATACGAATAGGCACATAGCTAAATTCATTAAAAATCGAAAGAGGAAATATACAATGTACATACTGTTCCATATTTGTCCAACGTTGAATAAAACCCTTACTTCATAAAGTTCTATGTGTCAGAACGAATTTACCGTTAGCGCATCGTGTTCCAAAATAAGAACAGAGTTTATGGATGTTTTTTTATTTTATTTAACTTACGTGTTATGCCATAAAATTTCTTACGTTTAAAACCTGTATCAAATTTTTATTTCCACAAAAACTTATAAAAATCGGAGACACACAACTCAATCAGACATTCTTGACAAAATGGCCGACGGACAAGCTCTGAGACTGAAATATGCGTTCGAAAACACACTAGTCGTCAATTATCTTTTGATCAAAGCGGGCAGATGTCGCTAGACGTACACTTTAACACAATTACTATGAAATATACCAAATGTGACACGACATGCGGTAAAGGATTGTGCGTTTATCTGATTTTCCGAACCGCCGTTTAGTTGTCGGTGCCTTTTCGACGGGTTGACATATGTTACGCACTTAACGTTTAGATACGGATCTATACACAGATACATAGCAGTCTGAACCTATGGCAACGCGTGCTCAACGCTGACAAGCTCGCGTGATCTTGTAAACACATACACAATAAAAAGTTAGCGCTTGTTGTAGGTTCGCGTTACGCCTGTCATCTGAACGTAACGACGTCATGTTCAAACTGATAATAAGTTTCTGATCGCAATATTTGTAACTTATTGTTGGAGTTTATCAGAAGAGATTTTCAATAAAATCTGCGAAGAAACGTAGCTAGCGTTGTTGCCGTTGTGACACATGGAGTATTGTAATTGTAATAAAGTTTCTCCAGTTACAAGTAAAATTCAAAATATTCACATTGCTTCCAACAACCTTTCCTTGTTATTGCGTTAGTTAAATTTATATAAAAATAATAATAAATGTTTTTATTGATATTTATATTATTACAATTGAATATACTACAAACGATTACATAAAATATCTAACTCAATAAAAAATCTAAAATTATCACATTATAACACATGTGTTGTAATGTTAACAACGCTGGTTACGTTTCCTCGTAGTGGTTATACTTATACAGTAACTTTATTTTTTAAATTTTGTTGGAAAGGATCTCATTTGTTTATCTAGTCACACATTCCAAACACAATTTAAGCATAAGTGAAAAACCACTGTAACATGCCAAAATATATTTTTTGTAGTATAGTCATTTCGCAAGGTAATTATAATTGTCGAATAAGTTTTGGACAATATTAAAATAAAATTAATTATAATATAAACGCTCAGGGACAAATTTAGAGGAACGCAAAGAAAATGTTTAATATCTCCTGTTTATCGTGCGTACTGGCCGCAAACATTATACTTCACCAAATCTAAGAAATACCTTTCGATAGCTGTCAGATTTATTGGACTATGCTGGTTGACATAATCCAAAAATCGGTACCTACAATATTCGATTCTTAAGAGATTCGATATTGATTGTTTAGAGTTGGTAATAATTTACAGT